GCAGCACCAGGTTCCTGCAGCTGTGGAAGCTGGGGAGCCTCAGTGTGCTGGGAGCCTTGGTGTGCTGGGAGCCTTGGTGTGCTGGGAGCCCTGGTGTGCCAGGAGCCTTGGCACATGGGGAGCCTTGGTGTGCCCAGAGCCCTGGTGTGCCAGGATCCTGGCTGGCTGGGGCTCCCTCCCTGCCCGGGATGCTCCAGGGCTGCTCAGCAGGCACATCACCCAGCACTGCTCAGAGACAGCCCCATCCACCCAGTGCTGAACCCAGAGTCCCGTGTACATAACGAAAAATATGTATAAATATGAATATATATTTACATGTCTTTTTAAAAGGGTTGTTACCAGAGATATACCAGTTTGGTAGGAAGGTACTAGTGGCTGGTAGATATCAGTTGCTATAAAAAAAAAAAAAATTCATATATTTTGCTACTTTTGCTGTTTTTATTTTTTTAAATTATGTTCTAAACCTATTTCAGTTTAGGTCCCTCGATAAGAATTGCTGCTGCTGCTTCAGTTTTATATGGGGTTGTATTAAACAATAATAATAATAACGTGTCGATGCCTTTTGGGAACCCGTTGTCATTACGTGCCTGGCCTCGCCCTGGCCCCCCCCGTGTCCCCCCTGCTCCCTCCCAGCGGGGCTGGGGCCAGGCAGTGCCCATGGCACCATATTGGTGTGTGGGGACAGTGCCCTGGGGAGGGGCTGCAGCCCCTCAGCTGCCCGTGGGGAGGGACAGGGGGACGCAGGTCACGCTGTGCCCCAGCTGGGGGATGTACACCCCATGCAGCCCCCACTGCCCCGGCGGTGCCAGCCAGTGCCTTACCAGCACCCGGGGAGTGGCCCCATCCCAGCTCTGCCCTTCTGTGCCCCCCCAGATGTGTCCCAGATGTGCCTGGAAGTACGGGGGTATTTCCCTGGCCAGGGCAGCCCCTCACCAGGGCAGTGGCCACATTTACCCCTTCCCTCCCCCACGCCAGAGCCAGGCCGCTGTTACTTGAAAAGTTTATTTTGCCTTTGTATGGAGAAATATTATTTGTTGTAAACTCTTCTGTAATGAATCTGGAATTCTTGTAATTATTAAAGACTTTAACCGCGACTCTGGCGGCCACGGCCCGTCCCTGGGGGGGTGGTGAGGAGAGGGCTCTGGGGGCTCTGTGTGCTCAAGCTCGTCCAAGCTGCAGTTGGGGAAGGTGACATTCAGGGAGCAGCCTGGATGGCGGCTGGTTTTGTAGGAATTCTGCTTTTCTGGGCTCCAACACTCCCCCTGCAAATGTTTTAGCATCCTGCACCCCACAAACTGCTGGGGGCAGGGTCCAGGCAGGGGTGTGGGGGGGAGGTTCACCGAAGAGGGGGGTGGGGGTGAGGGGCTGCCAGCCCCTCCCAAGCCCTTAAATGGTTAAGTGAAGCAGCTGCAGCGTCCCTGGCCTCCCCGGCCCTTTTAAATGCGTCTGCTTGTTGCTATTTCCCGGTGTAAATTAAATCGATCAGCTGCGCCCTGCCCACCCCCCCACTTTAAATTAAGTAGAGCTTTTAATCAAGTGATTTATGTTGAATTTGCAGCCCGGGATTAAACTCGCAGCCCAGGCAGGGGGAGCGGGGCTGGGGGGCTCCATAAATCACCGTTCTCTCCGGGACTGGCTTGGCGAGGCACGGGGAGAGCTGGAGCTCGTGTTTACATCATCCCAAACTGCTGCTCTCACCGTCTCCTGCTCATTTCCTGGGGTTACCAGGAGGGCAATTAAATATGATAATAAGCAGAGCGGCTGCAGCAGCACTGCTGGTGCTCACTGTGGGCTCGGGAAGGGGCACGTGCAGCCAGGTGTCCGCTACATCCCATGGGGACGTGGGATGGTCCCCAGGGTGCCACACTGGCTGGCACCCAGCTGAAACCCTGGAAGCTGATGGGACAGGACTGCCTGGATGCTGGATCCCAGCAGGGAGGATCAGCTCCTCTTTGCTTTCCAGGTAAGGCATCCTCTCCATGCGGGCAATCCGGGAGAGGGACGTACCCCAAAGCTGGTGTCAGCACCCTGCAGGTCCCACTCAGGGCTGTGGAAGACCTGCAGGACCAAAGCCACCCCCAGCACTGCTGGGTCCCTGTCCAGTGGGTGCCTGCCACCCTCCCAGCACTGCCAGGCACCAGCTCTCCCCTTAGGAGGTGGGTGGGATGGGGTCCCTTGGGAAATGACCCCAAAGCAATGGGGGATCCGGAGGCACTGCCTGTGGGACCTGCCCCCCTCCCCTGAGCGGATGGGGGGTGTTGGGCACTGGTGGCTGCCCAGCACTTGGCCCACCCCGCGTTTGGCTCTCGCAGCAGGTCCTTTGTCTCCTCCACTCCTCGCCTTCCTCTTTCTCTCCTTTTAAAGCCCTCGGGCTGTGCAGGGCCGGGACAATCTCTTGGCCTTGGGCCAGGACGTGGCTTCTCTGCCAGCGCTGAGCTGGGCCTTGTCCCGCTGCCAGCCATGGCAGGAACCTCCTGTGCCATCCCACCTTGGCACAGGGTCCCGCAGCCCGGAGCAGGGCTCAGCGGGTGTGTGGGCAGTGCCCCCTCCTCCCCGCTCAGCCTGGGGGCCATCGCTGCCCCGGCCCCCTTGGCCACCCTCCAGTCCCCCCGTCCCACCCAGCTGCGGGGTCAGCGGGACCCCCGGGTCGGGCTCCAGCCCCGGCCACCCACAGCTGAGCGGAGCCGGAGCCAGATGTGCGCAGCTGCGGCGGAGGCAGCGCGGGGGGCGCGTGGCTCCCCCAAACCCTCGCTGTCGTGGGCCCTGCCCTGCACAGGACAGGCAGCAGGACGGGCAGTGGGACACGTCCCCTGGGGACACCCCGGGGACGTTACAGTCTGTGCCCCGTCCCGCTCCACGCAGGGTTTGGCACCAGAGCCCTCGTCCCGCGTTACTTTGGGCCCGGATAAAGCCCCGTCTCCTTTGTTACACGTTCGTAGCAGAGGCAGAAGTGCTGCAGGAATGCGGCGCTGGGATCCGGGAGCTGTAAATCCCAGCCTTTGTTGTGCTTGGGCTGTGCTAAATCACTGCTTTTCCCTCTGAATATTAATCTCTTCCAAAAGTGCTGACCGGGGCATCTTTCCCCAGCAGCTTTCTGGGGAAGAGGCTGACGCAAGGCCTGGGGCTGGTTCTGGCACAGGAGATGTTCCCAACCAGCATCCATCAAAAATCCCTGACTTGCTGCTGCCCTGGTACCAGTGGGATGGCACTGACACAGTGCCACAAAACCTGGCTCTGGGCCGGGAGCAGGGATAGCACAGGGATGCCCTGGGGGAAGGATAAAGGGTGGAGGAGCCAGTTCTCCAGGCTGAGGGGAGACTGGAAGGTGTTTGGCACCGGCGTGGCTGGAAAAGCTCTTCTCACGCCAAAGCACACACAGCCTTGGATCTCTGCAGCGTTTCATTTGCCCAACGCTGCAGAACAGAATCTCATGATTTATGGGGCTCCACGGGGGTCGTTTCCTCCCCGAGCTCGGGGGGTCATGGAGCAAAACTGCTGCCTCTCCCCTTTGTGTGCCTGCAGGGTCTGGGGGTCCCAACACACCGAGCAGAGCCAAGGCTCGGGCACGTCCCCCTGGAGAGCCCTGTGGTGGTAACGACCTGAGAGGGCCGGGGGGGCAGCTGGGAGGTGCAGGGGTTTTTGGTCTGAAAAATGGGTTTGTTCAGGGGTGTGCAAGTGGCCTGGGACTGCTTTGGGTTCATCTTGCTCCGCCTGGTTCTCATTCCCAGCCCCCCTGGGAGGCTTTGCCACAACCTGTGATCACTTCAGGCTGAACACGGAGCCAGGAGCTCGTCCATGGAGCTGGGGAATCCAAGGAAGAGCGAGCCCCAGCTTCCAGATCCTTTGGTTTTGGTGTGAGGCTGTGAAAGGGCCTCCCCTCCTGCCCATGCCCAGGTGCTCGCCTGCTGGCGGCCGAGTTTCTCCGCGTCTGTTTTGAAGGCTTTTTGGCTCTCTTTGGGTGCGTTCCCGGCAGCGCATCCCGGGGCTCTTTGTGCGAGCACCGGGCGCTGCTGCGGCCTGCCGGCGCTCAGCGGCGCTGGCCGGGGGAGCTCCCCACGCCCGCCGGGACACGGGATGGGGTGGTCGGGGGGCTGCCAGGCACAGCCCGGCCTCGGCTCCACAGCCCCCGGCTCGGCTCGTGCACAGCAGAATTACTGCTCGTGGCACCGGGAAAACGCCTCCCTTGGGAATGGTGATGGTGAGTATTGAACGGGGTCGGGGCAGTGTGGCAGGGCTGGAAAAGCATCGATAGTTATGGGATTGTGGCTTGTAAGAGTCGGTGGGACTGGGATCAATCCTGTCAGGTGGTGCTGGTGTGATGTATCTGTGCTCCCGGTGTCCAACACCCTCCACACCCCTCGTGGAGGAGGTTTCCAGCCCTGGCTCTGCATCAGGGACCCTTTGGTAAAGGTTACCTGAGCTTCTGCTTCTCCTGGAACTACACAGCACTGATTTGGCTTCTCCCTGCCACGGCAGCTTCAGGGACCCAAAGGTAACAGAGCTCCTGAGTGCGTGGCTTGTCTGGGGGCATCTCAGTCCCTGCAGCAACAGCTCATCCAAGTTTATTTCCCTGTTGCACTTCAAGAAATCCTGTCCCCAGTTACTCCCAGCTTACCTGAGCAGAGCCTGACGTTCCCCCTGCCTGTGACATCCCTGTGTGACACACAGTGAACTGGGCTGGCTCTGTGAGCAGTTTCTGTGCTTCAAACAGGGAGATTTCCCCTGGCAGAGCCCCTCCTGTTCACCTTAACTCAGGCATCCCACCTCCCCAGTCACTTGCTTTAGCCATAACACAGAAATGACTTGTGTTTTTATTTTCACTCTCTCATCCCAGTGAAATCTTGCACTGAACAGCCCTGTGCCCAGCCCTGTGGGGTGAAAGGCCTTTCTGGGCCATGGTTCTGTCCAAACAACTCACAGATTATCAAGGAGACGAGGTTTCTGCTCAACAGACAAGTGGCACCAGCACCGTCCCCCCTGTGCTAAGAGGCAGCAGTGACTCCACAGCAAGGGGGTTATTTTATTGAAATAACAATTGTTCCCATTTATTAAACACAGATCCAGTGCCACGGACGGGCTGGATGAACAAGGAGGGGTTGCAGGTACAGAGCTAAGGACACAGAACACCTGACAGCTGGTTCTGCGTTACTGGAGGAGCCTGAGGTCACAGGTTTAAAGTGCTGTTCACACCTGGCCTTGGAGAACTGGCTTTTCAGAGCTGGGTTGTTCTAAAGGCTGTCTGACCTCTGGAAGAGACATTTCATTCTACTTAGCACCAAATCTAATTTTACAGTAAGTATAAATATTCATATTTAAAATCCATGTGAGTAATTTCCGAGCATTTACATAGGACAGTAAAAAAATCTAACAAATGCTAAAAACAGCTTTTCAGTATCCTCTGAGAGTCTGGCAAAAACTCAGTCCTTGCTGGAGTGCGTGAGGAGCCGGTTTGGAAAGTATGAGTCTGACAGCACTTAGTGTGTAGTTCTGAGCCTGGTAAGGGTTAACCAAGCCTTCAGGCTTGGGACGTGTGCAGGTCCTGGGTTGCTCCCTCACATGACCCAGAGGGATCCTGGAAGTGCAAGTCTGCTTTTGTCACAGTGTGTGGCACCAGCACTGCTCTCACTGGGGAATGCAAATGCTCACGGGTGGAGGCTGTTCCTGTCACTGCTCTGCTCCTGTCCAGCAAGGTCTGAAGTCGTTCTGAGCAGTTCAGCTCCACCACAGCACCGAGGAGTGCTGCTCCCTCCTTTCCTGTAGTTATCTTCCTCGGTACAAATGTGATGGGGAAATACAACGGGCACACATTGTATTCTGTGCTGGTCTCTGGTTAGACCACCCTAACCAGGACCAAGAGCCTGAGCTGTGATGCTCAGGACAAGCTGCTGGCCCTGTGTGTGTGGGGATGTTCCTGCAGAGGATTTCACACCGCAGAACAGGCTTTGCTGGACCCCCAGCCCAGCTTGTTCTGTGCCCAGGCTGTTCTGACATGAAAAGCCGCCTTTGCTAAGGTTGGGAGCACAAACACCTGCTCAGGAACAGCACAGACAGCAGCACCGTTATTAACATATTAACACCATAAGTTAAAAGTGCCAGGGGGAGGGATCCAGTACAAAAGAGAAGCTGGGGCCATCCAGACAGCACTGGCCTAGTTGCTAATAAGCTTGGGACAGACAGAGAGGCCCCTGAGGGTACTGACGCCTTGTTGTGTAGAGCAGCCTCCTGGGAAATCCCTGTTCCCTCTGCAGGAGGTGTGGAGATGGAAGCTGTTCCCTCCCAGTGCTGGCTCTGGGTTAGGCTCCGTTGGCACCGGCCTTGCTGCCCTGGGACGCTTCCATCTTGGTCTGGGGGCAAGAGAAAGGGACAGATTTGAGGCAGCGCAAATGTTTCTTGAACTGCGAAATCTTTTCTGCAGGTGTCTTCCCATTTACCATGGGAAGCTGCTCTGCAGAGTAACAGCTGATGAAGAGCAAAGTTCTTCAGGTTAAAGGAGATAAAAAAGTCCATCTGGACTCCCAAACTTGCCCTAAGCAGCATCCCAGATGTGCACAAGAGCAGCTGAATTGAAATGAAATGTTCACAGAAAGAAAATGGGCAGGAGGAAGGTAATCACTGCAGAAATACTTTTACATAAGGATTCTGACAAGCTCACCTCCTGTGGGGGAGGCTTCACTGACGCTTCTGAGACTGGCAATTTCTCTGCTGGCTGAGACACAAATTCTTCACCCTTTAAGGAAGAAGCAGCTGTAAGTCACAGAACCCCTGGAAGGGGCCAGACCCTGTAGAGCCCTTTCTCCCTTCTGAGTAAGGCTGTTCCCTGCTCACTCTGGGAAAGCTGTGTTGGCATTCCCATTGTTTCCCCAGCACAATTTAACTATGTGGAAATATTTCTGGCAGTTGATACGATATTCTCTAACTCCTGCTTTTATCAGCTGGGACTAATCTAAGGAGCTCACTGCAGCCTGATGCTGAGAACCATATGCTCTGGCTTTCTTACTCTAGGTATTTTGGCTCCTCTTGTCCTGGACAACTGAGCCCAAATTCAGTAGGAGAGTTGAAAACAAGTCTCCTTTAACCATCTTCTCTGAGCTAAATGTACTTGGGTTGAGGTCTAAACCAAACTGGAAGCTCATGAGTGCTGCTTTTGGCAGGAAGCCAGTGCCATGGCACTGAGTAACCAGCTGTTCCCAGCAAGGGGACCAGTTGTGTCACAGCAGATCCCTTGTCTCCTAAGTTAGAACATGCAGCTGTGAGGTTCCTGGGGGAAAAGCAAGACTGTGCTCTGCGCCATGGTGTCAAACATTGGGTTTGCCTAGCTTTGGAAAGGTTTGTTCACACTCAGTTCCCAACAATTTCAGCACTACACACATTTTCCAGCCTGCAGACTGCTATTTTCTAACCTTCCTTCCCTGTACAACAGGGGCAGGATCCAGGAGGGTCTCCTGACCTTCAAGCACGGATGTCACCACTCCAGCAGCTTCACCTGTCTGGGGAAGAACACAGAGACCTAACTTCAGTCCACTTGTAGGATCAAAGAACAAGATTCCTGCCACAGTCCTTCATTTCTATAATGGGTAATGGTTGAGCTATTAACCTGGAAGTTTTCAAACAACTCACCTTGTTCTGGGAAACACATTGTGGCTTTATGTCTACTAAGTACAAGGCACGGGAAAGCAGGAGCAGAGAAGGGGGAACGTTCTCCTTTAAATGCAGATCCAGCCACTGTCAGAAGAAAACAGAAGGAAAAGTTATTTCATATTGCTCTGTGTGGGTACTTATTTATGCAGCTCTCTTTGTCCTTAAAGCAATCTTGAGTTTGGCTAATAGAGTTTTAGGTAACAACAATGAGAAGAAATGGTTCTGAAGAGTTAGGAATACCGTATGGAATAGACACTAGAGAGGAAGTTTCCAGCACTAGGGAGGTACCAACATCCCTGCTGACAAACAGCCAAGCACTTGGAATTACCTACAGCTTCCCTGAAACACAGCACCCACAGCAGTGTCTCTAAGCTGTCTGGATGCTTACAGAGACCAGGAATATCTCTATTAAAGTCTTAACTGCTGCTTTAGAAGCTTAAAAACATATTTCACTCCCCCTCAAAGGTAGAAACCTTGGTGCTTCTTGGTTTCCACTTTAGTCTATGACATAAGGCATGAAATGTCCAGGTTAAGAGCTCAGCTCTGCAGGTGAGGATCCATCTGAAACTCGCCCACGAGTTCTCAGGAAGCTGTGCCTGCTGCACCTGACCATTCCCTGGAGCCTGCCCTCGGAGGAACCCTGTCCCAGCAGCCCAGGCCAGGGCACACTCACCTGGCCGAGCTGCTCCCTCAGCTGCTCCTCGGAGACGCCCAGGGAGCGCATCCCGCGGGCCCTGCAGGCGCTCTGCAGCTCCAGCACGCTCAGCCCGCCGACCCCTTCCTTGGCGATCATCTGCAAGGGACAGGAACCTTCCTACCCACGCACGGGGTGAGCCGAGCCCCTGACGCACCTGAAGGGACTCCTGGGGGTCCCCAGTCCAGGCTCCTGCTCAGAATTGCTCAGCATTTTCCATCTGTGCTTTGAGCCTCTCTAGGGGTGGGGATTTCACGACCTCCAGATGACTCGTTTTACTGTTTACCCACTCGCTGATTTTAATTCTTTTTCTTATCATGTTGGAGTTCTCCTCGCTGCAACTTATGGCCATTACCTGTTACCCCTCCATTCTGCACCTGTGAGTCTGGTTCCATTTTCTAAATAACCCCATTATGCAGCTGAAAACCACAAGGGGACCCTTGGCCCTCCCCAGGCTAAATAAATCCAGCCACTTTATACACTAACATAAACTTCTAATGAATTCAGTTGTTTAAAATCTGCTGCTCCCACACAATATTCATTCCAGAATTGGAACCTCCCTTTTTTACAAGTTAGCATGACTCCAGAATGAAATGTTTTAAACAGTGACAGTATGTGCAGTGACACCTTTGCTATGGTTCCCCGAAGGCTGCAAGGGTGCAGGGAGAAGAACTCTCATTCTGTTTTCTTCTGGGATCTCTGATGGAGACAATCTGACTCCTATTAAACCTCACCCCAGAGGTTGGTGGGAGGGCAGGGACACACCTGAAGCCAGCAGTGGCTCAGAGGGCAGAGCCTGAGAGCACACGCTCCACCCAGCAGCTCCTCTGTGCTGTTTCAGACCCACCTCATCGTCTGCCTTGATGGTCCTGAGCCGGAGCAGCAGCTGGAAGCGGAGCAGGTTGTTGGTGCCGATGGGCTGCAGCTCCAGCAGTTTGCACAGAGCCACCAGCTGTGGCCTCTCCAGGTGCTCCAGGGTCAGCTCATCCTCGAAGAGCTTGGAGAAGCGGACGATCTCCTGCGTGCTGGGCTGGTGGCCGCTGTGACGGATCTGAACCAAGGGCCAAAAGCCAAAGCTCAGCAGGATCACCCTTTGGGAACCCTCTTCCTTCCCTTCCCTCTTCCCGCTTCTCACACTGGAATTCCTGTCTCTGACGGAAACAGGGTGATACAGTTAAAAGCCAAAGTGAAACTGTTCTGGAGTGGGCACTGGGTGAAACTTCCACTGTTCCAGGATGGGAATTCCTGTGAGTGCAGCTCTGACAGGGGGGTCAGCAGGTGCTACCTGCAGGAGGCACCCAGGTAACAGCCCCTGCTGGGGCAGCCCTGTGCTGCCAAACCTCTCCACAACCCCAGTCCAAATCCTGTGTTCTCTGCCCATGGCTGCCACCCCCAGCACGGCCTGTCCTACCTCGTGCAGGTACGAGGAGAACTGCTTCCCTTGTCCTGTGTCTGCTTTGTTCCTTTTGGCCATCTCTGCAATGGTCTCCCGCAGGAACTTTGCTAACTCCAGCTTTGCATTTAGCTTCTTCCTCTGCTTTTCTTCCTTCACTCCGGGAAATAAAGCACAGTTAGAAATTCCATTTGGAAAACAGGCGGGAGGGGATTCTGGGAAAGAGATGAAATAAGACTTCGGTTCTGAAAGCACCAGGCTTTGGTTACTGCAGGAAGTGGAATTGCTGTGCACATTCCTGCTGATCCCTACAGCACAACCTCCCAGCCCTGCTGTTCAGCTCAGGAATAAGCTGGGAATGTCTGACCCGGACATGTGGGTGAGGCTGATCCTCCCTTCCAGGGAACAGCAGCTCTGTGCAGCTGCACAGATGTTCTGAGGAGCTGTGCACACACCCTACAGCCTCAGGCAGGACACAAACCTTTTTTGACTCCGTCTCAAATGTCGAGGGCAGCATTTCAGGGAAGAGCTTCAAGAACACAGGTAACAGAAATTCCATGAAGGGCACAATGACAAACACCAGGAAGGGAACCAGCCGGAAGAGATCTGCACAGGTTCTCAGCAGCTGTCCAGAGAAGAGCACAGCAGAGATTATCCTGAGATTATCACTCAGCCAGACACACAAAATGTGTCCAAAGTAGCGGTTAGGCGTCTTACTGCACCACTTTAGCCGGGTGCTGTGGCACTTACCCTCCGCCTCTCCCTCCTGGTGAGCACCTGCCCGTGGAGCAGCCTCCACACCATCCTGGCAGCCACCTTGGTGTCGATCCAGAGCAGGTGGAACCCATTGTAGTAGTGCTTCAGCTCATCCACGACCCTCTGGCGCAGAGGCTTCTTCCCCGGGGCAGCCTCCACGAGCTGTTTTGCCGGCGTTCGGGCGGGTTTGCTCCCCTGGCTCGCGGGATTCCCGGGGGCCGGAGGTTCCCCTCGGAGCTGCTGCTGCCGCCGTGGGCAGGGGCAGGTGTGCAGGGTGTGGGCAGGTGAGCGGGGCAGGGCAGCGCCCAGCCGGGCGCGGAGCGCCCAGGGAGGGGCTTGGGAGTCTCTGGAAGTCCAGGATACCTGGGAATCCACCAGCTGGACGAGGGCGAGGGCTGGAGAGAACGAAGGGCTGGAGGGCGTGAGGAGATGGGAGCCCCTGAAACTGGAGAGGTGTTTCGGTGACAACAGTGCAGGGAGGCCGAGGCGTCACCCCCAAATCAACGTTCTCAGCGCCAGATCAACTTGTGAAACTGATTTTGGGGCCGAGACACGGATCCTTCAGCAAGGGGTGAAACACTGAGAACTCGTCCCGTGCTAACAACCCTTCTCTTGGGGGAGAATAACCCAAGGCCCCACAGTGCCTCCCGGGAGCCCTTTTACCGACGGAACGGGATAAGAAGTGCCAGTTGCAAACAAAAAAAAGGAAAAACCAAATCTTCACCCCCAGCCCAGCGCGGCTGAGCCCAGCGCAGGGCCCAGACCCCCCCGGGAGGGGCTGCGGGGCTTACCTGACCCTGGCCACGGCCAGGAGGGTGTGACAGCCGCAGGCCATGGCTGCGCTGGATGGACCGGGGGGCGGCGGGACCCTCACTCCCGGCAGCGGCCGGGGGGCGCCGGGGGGCGCCGGGGCCCGGCCGGACCCATCCCCATCCCGCTGCCGGGAGCGAGGGGAGCGTCGGGATGGGGCCGCGCTGCCCCTCCCCGGTCCCGATCCCGGTGATCCCGGTGATCCCGGTGATCCCGGTGATCCCGGTTCCGGTCTCCCTCACCGCCGGCCGCGCTCCTCCCGGGCCCCCCCCCCCCCCCCCCCCCCCCCCCCCCCCCCCCCC